TGTGATTTAACATTATGGTCTCCAGGTGCATACATTTTCCTACAAATGACTCAAGTCTATCTATCTTTATGGCAGAATGAGACTCCCTGGTTTGTAAATACTATTTTCTTTATCCATTCATCTGTTGTTAATAATGTTTTTTTTAAATTTTGGCAGTGTCTGTTGTAATTTCACTTTTTTCATTGCTAATTACATTGATTTAAGTCTATTCTTGCCCCTTTTTTGGTTAGATTGGCTGAGCATTTGTCTATTTTGTTTATTTTTTGGAAGAACCAACTCTTAGATTCATTAATTCTGTGGGTTGTTTTTTAGTTTCAATATCATTGATCTCTGCTCTGCTCTTTATAATTTCCCTCCTTATATTAGCTTTGGTTTGGATTGTTCTTGTTTATCTAAGACCTTGAGGTGTATTATTAGGTTATTTATTTGTGTTCCCTCTGTGAATTTTTGTGATGTGGGCATATACAGCTGTCCACCACCCTCTTGGGACTAGTTTTATTATGTCACGTAAGTTCTTTTATGGTGTACTGGCATTATCATTTAGTTATAGAAACTGTCATATTTATTCCTTAATTTTTTTGTAATCCATTTAATTAAAGAGTGTATGCTTTTATCTCCATGAATTTAGATAATTTGTGTTTTCTTTTGTCACTGATTTATAGCTTCATTTTGCTACGGTTTGACAGTTTGCATGGTATGATTTTAATCTTTTACATTTACTTGATTTTTTTTTTTTTGGCTAGTATGTGGCTCCATTTTAGACGAAGTTCTATGTTCTGCTGAAAAGAATGTGTATTCTTTTGTTGTTGGGTGAAATACTCCATAGATATCTGTCAAGTGCATTTGTTCAGAGATTTTAACTCTGATATTTGTTGATTTTCTTTGTCTAGTTTATCTATCTGTGAGATACTGAGGTTCCCCCACTATACTTGTGTTTATGTCTCTTTGATTTTTTTTTTTTTTCCATACTGGGAATCAAACTCTGGACCTTGCACTTGCAAGGCAGGCAGCAGCGCTAAATCCCTGGCCCTTGTCTATTTGATCTTTTGTGTCTTCTAGTACTTGTTTTATGAAGTTGGAGGCATTGTTGTTTGATGCATATATGTTAATAACTGTTACCTCTTTCTGTTGGATTGTTCCCTTAACCAGTATGTAACAGCCTTCTTTGCCTCTTTTGATCAGTTGTGGCTCAAAGTCTATATCCAAATATAAAAGTCTATATATCTAAATATAGTCTGTATCTAAATATAAGATAGCTACATCTGCTTTTCTGAGGGCTCCTGTTGTATGGAATATTGTTTTGTATTCCTTGATTTTTATCTTATGAGTTTCATTGGTGTTAAGTGTGTTTCTTATACGTTGGATTTTGTTTCTTGATCCATTCTGCTAGTTGTGCACTTTGATCAGAGAATTATGACCATTTACATTGGGAATTATTATTGTTAGGCATTGATTTATTTCTGTTGTTGTCTTACTTTCTTCTTGTTGATTTCCTATCTTTTCCTTCTACTTAACTGCTCACCCTGTGTGGTCTTTTCATTCTATTAGACTTTTTGTCATTGTCAGCTTAATTGTCTCCCTCTGTGGTATCCTTGAAAATTTGTTGGAGTGCTCATTTGGTGGTCAGGAATTTTTTTAGGTACTCTTTATCATGAAAATACCTTATTTCTCCATCAATTTTGAAAGATAATTTTCTAAGATATGTCAGCTTGGGTTGCAAATTGTTTTCTTTTAAGGCATGAAACATTCATTCATTCCAAGCTCTCTTGGCCTTTAAAGTTTTTGTTGAGAATTCTCCTGGAATTCTAGTGGGTTTTCCTTTATAAATAATTGTTGCTTTTCTTTAACTGCTTTTAAGATTCTGTTCTTGTGTTGGACTTTGAATTTTGACTATGATATGTTGTGGAGAGGTTGTTTTTGATTGTGGCTATTTCAGATTCCATATGCGTCATTTACCTGTTTGTTAAATTCTTTTACCTTATTTGAAAAGTTTTCAGCTTTTATATCAGTAAATATGTATTTATGCCATTTATGCTTATTTTTCACTGATACTAATTAATCTTAGATTAGTTTTCTTTGTATCATCTAGGATCTGTTGGATGCATTTTTCATGACCTCTTGTTCTTAAGATGTGTCTCAGTAATTGGTCACTAGTAATAGCTATGTCTTCTAGTTCTGAGATTGTCCTCTGTTCTCACATTGGTCATTTCTTTTCTTTTTCTTTTTTTCCCCTTTGGTACAGGAGATTGAATTCAGAACTCCTTGCAGTTGAGAGGCAGGCATGGTGCCGGTCAGCTAAATCCCTGGCCCCTTCACATTGGTCATTTCTACTTTCCATAATCTCCTGAAATTCTATTTGGAGCCCTTTCATGGACCCTAATCCTTACCATGCCACTGACACATGTTTTGCATCATTTTGTTTAGTTCGTCTATCTTTTTATTAGGCCTTCTTTAGACTCGGTGATTTTATTTGTAACTTGTATTGTCTATGATCTTGCCAGTTGCCTTATTGAACTGCTTTGCTATCTCACCCTGACACTGCTTCGGGTAATTCAGGTGTGAGGCTTTTGGTTTCCTTCTCTTTGATAAGCTTTGGTGGAGCTGCAGTTTTTGGAGGCATTTTGTTGGATTGTGTTCTCATTGTTTCTTCATTGACTCTCATAGGACTATTGTATTGAAAAATTTTTCTTTCTTTTCTTTTTCCATTAAGTTTATTGGTACCATTTAGGTATACAATACCGTTACATTCATCATTGGGATCTTGTACATTTACATAATGTATCTTGGTTCTTATTTTTTCCCCATCCCCTGCCCTCCCTTCACTCCCTCTGTACTTCCCTGTTTACAAAGACTTTGTTTTTATTTTTTTCCTGTTCTCATATTTTTTCTTTTCCCTCCTTGCCTTTTTCCTACCCCTCCTACTTCCCCTACTTCTTTAGATCCTTTCTTCCTATTTCACATTATCAGTCATACATTTTGGTCCTTATTTACACCTTTAGTTTTTCACACCAGAGAAACTATTTGGTATTTACATGTGTATCCTGTTTATTTCACTTAAGAGTATGCCCTCAATGTGCATTTATTTAGCTATAAATGTCTCTAGTTTCTTGTTCCTCATGGCTGAGTTGTACTCCATTTAAAAAACACACTACATCTTCTTTATCCAGTCTCCAGTTGAAAATTTTGTTTCTTATATGGAGACCTCTTTAGTTAATGTCTATTTTCATTGGTGTTCTCTGGGTGTGGCTAACTACTGGTGTTTGCATCTGTCCCAGGATGCAGCCACCTCCATTTACTTGAGATGGAAAGTTGTAGTGTGTTTGGCCCAATACCCAGTTCTCCCAGAATGGGCCACAGTATTGTTAATAATCCCTAGGCAATCTAAATATTGGCAATATCTAAACAAACCAAGTAATAGTAACAACAATAACACTTTTGGTATTTTCATAAAACCATCTTCAGTAATAGCATTAAATACAAATGAATACACTCTGTCCTTGACTCTGTCCTCTGAGTTCTGTTGCAGAAGAATTGCTCATAAGTCAGATTTGTTTATAAGCCAACAAAGTAAGTACAGTATACCTGTGAAAGTTTGCAACTCAAATGTTCTTTAAGTCAGGGACTTACTGTATTGACAAAACATTACTGTATTGGTACCTAAGGAGCTATAAGGTACCACCCTTGTCCATAGAAGAGGGATGTACAATTGTAGTTATGAGCTCTAAGACAAGCCAAATATTGACCTACTTTTGATCAACAGTAAATATCTACTAAGTAGAACAACTTTTCCTCTATTAACAATAGCACAGCAATAGCATAAATTTAATTATTTCTCTAGAGATTCATAAATCTTAGTAGTTTTTCTAGTAAAGGTAGAGGTAGTGTAGAACCAGAGAATAGAAAAGGGGGGAAAAAACAGCAAATTTAAAAAAATTAATCAGTGGGATATTAAAAGGAGAGGAAAGTAAGATAGAGGGTCCTATTAAGGCCCTTTTGAAAAACAGGGCCAGGGAGCAGTGACACTCAGTTACACCACACCTGCCTCATAAGCTCAAGGTCCTGAGTTTGATTCCCAGTACCAAAAAGAAAAAGAAAAAGAAAAAGGGGGGGGGAGTAAAAGGAAATTAATAGTGATAGAGAACAGTCACTGCAAAGAGTGAACAAGAAAAAGAAGAAAAACATAAAAAAAACCAGGAAGTGAAAGAAGAGAAAAAAGATAAAAAATAGGAGGGGGAAAAAAAACTAGAAGAAGAGAAAAAATAAAGAGGGAGAAAAACTCCTAACACCAAGTAGACATCATGAAGGAAAGACAAAAATAATACAAAATAGGAAAATCAAAAGAAAGATTGAATAAAAAAAACTTATATTATTGAATGAGCAGGTTCTTTCTACTATTTGCAGTCTTGGGATTCAGCCAGTCATGATTTTCTATGCCTAGCTTTAGGGCCTATGTGTCTTTGAGGTCCCCTGTTTGCACAAGTGCCCCCTCTATTCCCCCTAGATTGTGACTACTGTTTGAGACAAGGTATGTCCTTGTTCCCATTGGTGTTAGGTCAGTTGTTCAGTCTTTGCCTCTGCTACCCTGTTCTGTGTTCCCTGGGCTGTGCTCTTTCACAGGGCAGGGCACTACAGGATGTCTCTGTCATGTGCCAGGCTCTGCACCAGATCTGCTGTCTCACGTGGGGGCCTATATTTTTTCCTTAGGGTACTCATCTATGTTACTATTCTTTTAAAGAAAAAAGGGTAAGAGATGACTATTTTCTCTGTGTTTTGGTTATAAAGAAAGAAAAGACTAGGTCTGGGGACGTAATGCAGTGGTGCTGCACCTGCCTGGCAAGTACAAGGTTCTGAGTTCGATCCCAGGTAGAAAGAAAGAAGGAGGGAGAGAGGGAGGAAGGGAGGGGGAGAGAGAGCAAGAAAGAAAAGAAAAAAGAAAAGACAAGACTAATGTTGTAGAAATGAAGACCTATAACTAATGAGATTCTTTTCTCTCATGATAGGTGATGGGAATGTACTTGCACAATGGGAGAAGCTGGTAACTTATAGAAAGCCAAGGTGACAAGAATTTTTTTGCATAATCTGTAAGTAAATTTTTGATAGCTCTTTGGAATTCCTTTACCTACTGAATGAATTATGTTGAAGACATCAAAAGGATGGCACAATCATATAATTTAAAAGTATAAAAGAAAAGGTGTGTTAAAAAGTAAATACACAAACAGTTTGGAAAACTAATGTTAACACTGGGGAGATTTTGCTTTTGCATTAATTCTTTCTTGGTAGAGGCATGCCATTTTTTATGCACCATTGGTTTGTTATAAATCAAAAGTCTTTGAAGAATTAAAAGATGCTTCCTTGCACTGGATCAACATTTAAGTTAAACTTGAAATGGCCCATCTGAAATACAGACATTCTTGGTCCCGTTGGTTCCTTGTGTTCCATTTTTCACTCAGGTAGCTTCTGTAGGTACATTTTAGAAGTAAATATAAGCTTGATGGATATGATTAAAGTTGAGTTCTTTTTCTGTACCTTCTCCCAGTCCCCATCAATGTTTCTAAATTATCTGACAGTTAACCCATGCTCAGCTTTGGTTTCATTATGATAATGCTAGTACATGTGGCAGCCTTAGTGGAAAGATCAAATGTTTTCTGGGTAATTCTTTTGTCTCATTTGCTCTCGTGCCTTTTAGTGATTACTCAACCTCTCAAAACCTCAGTTGACTCATTTGTACTTTGGATTTGGTAATACCTCTTGTGACATTAAAGACTGTTGATAGTACTTTGTGGCATGATGGACAAATGCAGTTACTACACAATAAATGCAATCTTTATATCATCATTTGTGATTTATAAACCTTTCTTCTGATTGAAATGATGGGCCAGCTTGTGTTCCATTACTGCTATGAAACAGTGCTGGTTATGGTAGGCTGTCGTACACAGATCAATGTACTCAGTGTAAATAACCCCACCACAACTGATTTCAAACTACCAGTGAGAGTCATCAAGAGCAGGGTTGGAAAATGACTGAAATAGCACATTGCTATATGTGCTAACGAGATATTTCTGCCAATGAGATAGTAGTTGAAAACAGCATCAAGGAAAATGGGTAGTACTAAAAAATAGGAAATAATGAACTTTTTGAGTATTTATTGCTTTTCTTTGTAGTATCATTTTATAAAATTTTAAGTTATGTAATTTACTTTCAGTGATGGCTGTGTTGTTTAACAACTAAATTACCAGTAATCCTGAGAAATCAACAGTTGATTGTAGCCAACTGGTGCAGGCTGGCGCTACATAAGACTGATTGTATGCCGGGGATTTAGCTCAGCGGTTCGGTGGCCTGCCTTGCAAGCGCAAGGACCTGAGTTTAATCCCCGGTACCAAAAAAAAAAAAAAAAAAA